CTTAGGAACATTGAGGCAAAGAACTCGTTGAGGAGTTCAGCCTTGTCCCCTCTGTCTGTCACCAATTGTTTCTGCCCATTTAGCAGGGGTCCTATTCCTGCCTGGGCCTTCCTTTTACTCCCTATATATCTAAAAAACAATTTCTTGTTGTCTTTTACTTGGGTTGCCATCCTCAGCTCCATGGTAGCTTTGGCCCGTCTAACTGCCTCCCTACAGGCACGAGCAGAGGAGGTATATTCGTCTTTAGTGATCTCTCCCTGTTTCCACTTTTTATGTGCTCCCCTTTTGGCCCTTAGGCTGCCCTGGATTTCTCTGGTCAGCCAGGGAAGCCTCCTGGCCCCTTTCCCTCTTTTACCTCGCACAGGGATCGTCTTGCTTTGTGCCCGAAGGATCGTTTCCTTAAGGCACAGCCACCCTTCTTGGGCTCCCATCACTTCAAAACTCCTACTCTGCAGTGCGTCCTTGACTAATCGCCTGAGTTCATTGAAATCAGCTTTCCTAAAGTCTAGCACTCTCACCCTACTAGTTACTTTACCCACTCGACGTCTTATGGTGAATTCTATTATTAGGTGATCGCTGTCCCCCAGATGGCTACCGATCTGTAGGTCCCCTACCATGTCATCCCCCGTTGCCAATACCAGATCCAGTATGGCATTCCCCCTAGTGGGACCGTGTACCTCCTGTGTCTGGTGGAGGTCCTGTACACAGGTTAGAAACCTGCGTGAGCGGTGGGACTTTGCTGTTCTTCCCATCCTAGTCTGCACTCCAGAACTGGAAGATCAGATCACTTATGAGGCTGCTCCAGATTCATCCCTAAAGCCCATTCTCAGACCAGCCAGAGACTGAGGACTCAAGAACACTGTCTGGGGATGACTCTAGAGCCACCTTGCTAGTGAAGTTCCACCTCTGGACTGTATCAACAGAGCTAGGTGGGAGGTGTGTACTCAAGCCCATCCTTCCCAGAAACTACAGTTACACTATATCAGTTGCTCTCTGGAAATTGCCTGTGTGTATACTCTTCCCCTGTGGTAAATACAAAATAACATACCTGCTTTTCACTGAAGTCAGCTTCCTCTCATTTTCTATGGAGTGAGACTGTACACATAAGCATTTATTGCAAAGTAGCTGACACGCTGGGCACACCTATATGAGGTGCTACTGTGCAGCAGCTTGTTGTGACCGCACGGTAGTGTTAGCGGGCACTAAACATGCGGCAACAATATTGCGCAGTAGTAACGAACTACTGTGCAGTAGCTCATTGTGACTGCACAGTAGCCTCTGAAAAAAACCATGTGGTGATGGTACTACATAGTAACGCTGGTTATTGTGCAGTCATTTAGTACGTGCATGAGCTCATCCAAGTACTAAATGACTGCACAGTAACAACTGCGCAGTCCGCCACTCGTGTAGACACGGCCACTGGAAATTTAAACCCTACTTTACTTAATGGTAAGTTGCTTGTGTGCCCATTCTCATGTTTATACAAGTGCAGTCCCTCCTTTGTGGACATAACTCTGGTTCTGGTAAAGAGTGATTCATCTTAAACCCCATCCCAGTGTCTATGCCAGTGGTTCTTAACCTTTTTAGACTCAAGGCACTCCTCACTGAACTTGAAGCACCATTTGGAAAATGCCATCTCTTAACTTCCACTTGTTTTTTTTTACTACAGAGAAATAATAGAATGATTCTTCTGTTGCAAAGAACTCAGAAGGATCACAACAAGTCAGAATGGTTTTGACACTATGGATTCCTATTTGAAATTTTTGGCTTTATCTTGTGAATTGTGTGTAAGTGTGCACACATAATAGTGCTAATACTGTGCATCACCCTTAAAAGGATCTCGGTGCACCAGAAGGTGCCGTGGCACCCTGGTTGAGAATTACTTGTTTACACATTGAAGTTATACTGGTACAGTGACATGGTTTAAATTTTCAGGAGGATATACCAGAAAAAAATTCAAAGGTAAGCAAGGCCTGAGTCTTAACAGGGCCTTTCAGTTATCCTGCACAAACTGATTTGAACTAACATGATTGAAAAGCTCATGCTTTTAACTGTCAAGACAGGATATTTGCTATGCCATCAATGACCTAAATCACTCTCTCTTTCTTCGTTTTTTATGAGTTAGGACCAAGGCCTTGATTGAGAGTTTCATTGGTTTAATGAAAGGTGTGACTTTAAAATTAATTAATTTAGCTGAAATTAATGCTGAATCCAGTGTGGAAATACTTAATTCCATTCATCTTAATTAATTTCTTCATTTAATTAAGCTACATTCCGATGAACTAGGCTTATATCAGTTAAGGAACATCCACACTAGGCTTTGTAGAAGGTCCACTAAATTAATTTAATTATTTTAGGGCAGGTGTCTATGCACCAGAGCCCCCTTTAAGCTGGTGGAAGATTGAATTATAGATAATACTGTGGGCAGCTGGCCTGCTTTGCTTAGAAGTGAGTGGGCTGTGCTGTTCCCATGTAAGAACAACAGAGAGGAGGTGGCAAAGGGAACAGCAAGCTGCAGAGAGACACCGTTGTGCAGTATGGACTTGCCTTGTTCCCCTCCCCCCATCTGGCTCTGTGGGTAGGTTTTACATGCGTTCATATATAGCCATCAGAGAGAAGAAGACACACACTCACAGGCAAACCCACAACAAAACCCACACAGGCAGAGCTGAGAACCCTCTCCAGGAAGCTGACTTATACTAAACCACTCGCATATTTCTTGTTACATTACATCTTGCTTTGCTGCCCCTGCCAGCAGATGAACTAAACCCAGTCTCCTGGGCTTTTTTTTTTATCTTTCTTAAGTAAAATACTGAGAACCTGGTAAGGAAAATTCAACTGAAGAAAAAACCTAGAGCTGACATTTTCTTCTTTATCTCCCACCTGCACTTATAATGTTCTGCCTTCTATAACATTAATTTTCGAGAGCCTTGTTCAACTTCCTGTGTCTGGTGAGTCTTTAAGAATTTTTTTCCTAAATGCCATTATATAAATATATAATTTAAATCAAGGTTAGTGTTTGTCGCTGTCACTATTGTCTCCTCTAATAAAAATTGATATAAAATGCTATAGGTTTCACAACAAATACTTCATATTATATATTTGTATTTGTGACATTGTATTTTAAATATAATCTAGTCCTTGGCAGGCTTCTTACTATGCATGTTTTGTTTGCTTTAAAGACTTTTTTACTTCAGCTTAAAATGACCTGTTCTCAAAGAAGGAATATGTACTATCAAATGAACCACTAACATAATTTTTTTGATGTAAGAAAAAGAAAGTAAATCAATTAAGCTAAAGACCATGGGTCTGTGTCTGACCTGATTTACTGTGGTGTAAACCATGAATAACTCCAGTGAAGTCAGTAGAGTTCTACATATGTATGTATGCCATGTAACCCGGCATAATTAAAGGGGAAATATTGTCCCTTCTGTCCTTGAGAGAGAAAATAATATTATTTTATTTTTAAAAGTTATATTCTAGCATAAATTTAGATTGTTTTAGTGATATTTGTCAGAAAGGTAGAATGCTTGATGTTTTTATAAATTAAAATTAATATTAAAAAGTTTTTAATTAGCTGTTTTCATCTCCATTCCTACTTTTACCTGTACCCTGGTGCAACTAGGGGTCTTTCATGCTTGCACTCTTCCCAACCAAAAGGCCTTGGACACAACTCTCCTCTTCCATTTCATATGTACTTCTTCACCTCCTCTCTGTTGTAAAACAGACGCATTATTTTCATGACATGTGACCTGGTCACATATGTAGCTGGGTGTATATCCACCCAGATACACATTCCAAGGTTGTGTTTTGTGAGGCTAGTCCTTCAAATGTCAGAACTGTTATTAAAATGGCCTTATTACTTTACAAATGAAGAATTAGTTGATATAAGAAATGAATGAAGAAAGAGGTTTAAAGAGACTGGATCATGGAAGATCATGTAATATGTCAGCCATGTTCTGGGATCCTCTCAGATCCCCTAAAAACAAATACGATTGTGAGTCTAAGATTTTTCTTTCCTCATCTTTCAGCTCTGTTTCCATTAGTGCATGGGGCAGGCGCAAGGTTGTGATATCTGGAAAAGGCCATCTTTAACATAGATTTGTCCTGAGGATGACATTTTTAGAGGTATGAAAAAAGAGATAAGGCAGTCCTTAATGGCTTTAGTTTTTCTCTGTTTCTGGTGATGCTTGTGTGCTGCTGCTGCAGATCAGACAAAACATAGCATCACATGGCATTGTATTTTATACTTATAAATAATACCATTTAGAATAACTTATTTTTAAAAAGCAGTTACAAACAACCATAAATATGTAAGTAATTATAAATTTTGTTTTAATGGCATTTATAAAGATGGATTTAAATATATATTGTGTGAATGCATCCGGTTTTTAAAGGAGGAGAGATGTGACCCTGACATTAACATCCTATTTGGGTATGGGGCACAGCTGAAGTTTTAGGACAGACGTGTGTGTGTTAATTTTGGGTACAGAGAAGCACCTTTGGAAATTTACTTAGAAATTTTACTCTCACTAGAGTAGATGCACCATGATGGGAAATTTAGTCATCTACGTGTTTATAAATAACTTGTACTTGTTGTCTAAGCCCCTGAGTAAATTAACATTTAAAATATAATCAATGGGCCTGTGTCACTATTAAAATAAGGCCAAAAGCAGTGCCAGAGGAAAACAATATAAAATGGCCTTAATGTAAATGAGAATCTGGCCTCAAATGTTTAAGTTATTACCGAATACATTTTGGTTCTCACATATTCGCTGCACTTTTATGGTGACAACAGTGTTACAATACTACTACAAGATTTAGCAGCATCAGAAGAAGCTTTTCACATTTAATTCTGCTACAGTAAGAGTATAAACTAAAACTCTATCCTTAGCCCTCTTTGCAGCCTCCAGCTGTGCAAATTTCTGAGCTAGTAACAAAAAGTATTAGCTGATTTTGCAGTGGACAGCAGAGAGGCAAACTTTCACATGTGTTGAACCACACTGGGCATGTCTACATGTGCAATGAATGTGGATGAATAAACTCCAGTGCAGTTTCTGCAGGAATTTTTTGGTCCTGGGCTTATTCAGCCTGAGGTTACGCTGACCTGGCTCAACCTGCTGCAGAGGAGCTGACTGGGGCATGAAGGTGCTTCATTGTGGGACTAGCCAGCAGGCAGCCCCCACCCACACTGAAGCACCCTTGTGCTCCAGCCAGGCCCATCAACATCTACATGTGTGTTGCAGTAGAGTAAATGACTCCGCTGTAGGCTAGTACTTGTGTTGGGAAGTACGTCTTATGGCAGAGTTAATTATTTTACTCCATCCTAATAGCACCACAGGTGTAGACAGTGTCCTTTACTGTGGAGCTAATTAGTCAGTTCTGCAGCAAGTGTCTCATGTAGATACGCGCACCATATAGGGGTTTAAGGCTCTAAATGTACCCCCAATGCACCATACTCAGAAGCTAACTGGAAACCAATAGAATTAGTAATGTAGCAAACTTCCTATAGTTTGATCTTATAGTAGAAGTTTTCAAGCAGCCTTTCTGTGTAGTGTGTCATTTGGGACCAATCTGGAGGTCATTAACACCAGGCCCTTAGATAGCCTATCTGTCATCTCAATCTCCTTGTAATCATCTAGTTGGTTGTAGTTTTTCAGAAGGGTAGGCGATAGTTTTTCATTTAAAAAATGGGATATTATTCCTTAAAATTAAATTATTACTTTATTCCTAAAACTGCCATTTTTATTAACTATATTGGAATACTATTAAAGACATTATCTAAAAGACAGTTGCAATTTTTATTTTCAATTAAATTAAATGTTGTGATAACCATTTCAATATTTTTAATTAAAAAATTGCAAAAGAAATGACTAGATCACAAACAATTCCTAGACCATGAAAAATGCTCTTTAGAATGAATTTTTTTTAGACTGAAAATAACTTTGACATTTCAGAGTATTTCACAAAAATAGATTCTCATTATTTGACTAGCTCTGTATGGATCTAATGGTCAGTTTCAAACTTTTTCATGATGAGGCCTCATAACATGCCCCTAATTTACAACATTAAGATAACAATAAAGTAATAAAGAAAGGGTGACCTCATCGCACCAGAGTTGAAAATGAGTGTTTTAAAATATTGTACCAGCACCTTAGAGATCTGGCTGCACATAACAAAGCAATAATAGCATCAAAGTTTGAAGGCCATAATTTGTCCTCAGCCCTTTTACCTAAAGCCAAGCACAATTTCCTACTTATTTAGCAAAATTTAGTTGTGCTTAATTTCTAATGCTAATTGACAAACTGAAAACCTTCCTTATACCCCTCCTCCCCCCGCACAATCTTATCTGTGCTGAAAAGATAGCAATTTGGAGCCAAAAAGCAGGTTATGCATCTGATGAGTCTGAGCAATGGGAGCTCTTTGTACAAAACATTTGCATAATGAGGCTTAACTGTCCAAAGTATGGAAGAGCTGATAGACACAGTAGCTTGAATTGTGCTGTTGGTTATATCAGTGCACTTTGATTGATTGAAGAACATTTGATCAGACACATCTGTTTATTGGTCCTAAAGAAAAAAGTGGCTTGAAAATACGTGTCTGTTACTAATTCTGGGTTTATCACAGATTAAGATACCTTGCCTGCTTTTCCTAATTGTGTTTGGATATTGAAAGACAATTTACGTAGAGTGTATTCAGATATACCCCCACAGCCCCCAGAGAAGTTACTGGAATTGAAAATTCATACCTTATCAGGGTGGAATTGAACTTAAAGGGTTTTTTTTTTTCATTCAGGTGGGCAAGTAAAATGTTCAGTTCAAACTTCAAAACTTAAAAAACCAAAAATGTATTCTGTTGCTGGTTTGGGGGTTTCCCCAAAGGGATGCAATTGATGACATACAAGATGGGAAAGGCCCAACATACATGGGAAGGGAAAGAACACTTTTCCTTCCAGCAGAGGCGAGAATGACCATTTTATTTATTATTTTATTTGTTCATATGGGATACAACAACTGAATGATAGAACAAACTATAAACAACCTGTGAACAACAGCACTGAGAGATAAGGCTAGCATGACAGTTTTAGATTTGATATTCATTGCAAGGCGTCATCTGTAGTCTGGTGCAAGTCTTCCATACAACCATTGAAATGATAAACAGGACATTCCTCCATGATGTGTGCTATAGTTTGGATTTCTCCACCCTCACATTTGGGATCTTTAATAAAATTCCATTTATGTAGTAGGTAGTTACATCCACCTTGTCCAGTAGGAATCCTGTTCAATGTTGTCCAGCTCCACCTTGGTAAAACAAAGCCGTTAGGTTTAGTTGTAGGGTCCATGATAAGAAATGTATTAATGATGTCAATTGTGTTCCATTGCTGCTGGATCCATTTTTCCTTGATGTCAATGTTTTTGTCATTTAGCTCTTTTGCCTCACTCCAAAATGGCCTTCTTGATTTACCTCTTGGCTTAGGGAGGCCATTAAGTTCCTTAAAAATTGGTAGTGAATTGAATGTAAGCCGTTTTTTCTGTAGTCTTAGGGTAATCTGTTTATGTCGAAGATCAGGAGGAGGGATATAAGAGAACAGACAGCCAAGGAACAAGAATGGATCTGCCAGAATGAATATTGTGTAATGTACCATACATTATTGTTTTCTGTATGCATATGTTTGCAGCATAGTATATTTATCTAAATAGGCCACATTCACTCAACTAACCTGATTGTAACACCTGCTGATTTCTGTATTCCTCGCAGGTGATATGGATCTGATTTTAAAGGCTGCTTTTGTACTTAAAAGTTATAGAAAAGGTTGATTCTCAAAATGCAAATCTGGTAGACCTAGAGTCCTATTCAATTAAGGCTATTTTATTGTCCTCCATTTTCATGGTCTTTGAAAGACCACCTTAAATCTTTCATTGTAACAATAAAGCCAAATGTTATTTTTGTT